AGGCCGCCCGTGGGCCGCGTGCAGGTCGCGCTAGGCCAGCCAGACCGGTGCCCGGGGGGGACACCAACTTGGTAAGTTGTTGCCTGGGTGCTTGCCTATTTGTCACGAGGTGCCACGTGTCGCAATTTCACTAGAGGGCCAAATCTGCCCTCATCACTTGGGTTTTGAAATCGGTTTGAGTTCAAGCCTAAGGTTGGACTAGGGTTGGCCCCAATCCATTCTAATTTATACCCATAGTTTTTATTAGAGTTGAGAGGGATTCAAAAGAGTTTAAGGAAAAAATAGAAAGGGAGGGGGGAGGTAGAGAGAGAGAGAGAGTTATATATGATGGATTTTATAAGATGGAATTAATAATACTTAAAAATTTTCATTATGATATTTTATATTCTTTAAATAAATGAACCACATATATGAGAAATATAAGAGAAGAAATGTTCAAGTGAGCATTTTCATTATGAGTTTTAGCCACACCCTATCTATTTTCTTCGGTCAGTTAATTTTATTTATCCTTTTATTAACAATACTTAGGTGAAAAAATTAGGATACTGATATCTTTTTAATCAAAGTGCCTATACCTTTGCCTCTAGAAACTTTCATGTTGTTTTAGAATGTTTTCCTTCCTAATCCAAAAGATTTTTATTTGTTCATCCTGTTATAACTTTGTTTTAGAAGAAGAATATATGAGAACTTGAGAAGCAAGCAATTTAAGTTTATTATTAAATATTAATGTCACCAAAGCAGAATATACCATTGAGAGAGAATCTCCTACCTACCATCTTTCACACAAAATATTCAAAATGACCCAACAATCTCTATCTTGATCCCTAAAATACCCCTATTTTTTCTACATATCCTTACAAATGGACAAGATTGTTCCAACTACTTTTCAACCCTACCCCTAGACACATGAGACAAGAAGACCAAAACACTCCCATGCAAACTTCCCTTCAAAGAATACCAACCTAGACATTTCTAAATTTCCTTAACATTTTTCTAAAGTCCCAGAATGCCCCTGCCTTAAAACCTACAAATATGAGGTCGCTCAACCATTTGGATAGAGGTGTAAATCAGGTCGTGCCAAGCTTTGCCACCCTCCCCTGGGATGACTTGGGGGGTCGGCCCAGCATGGCCCGCGACCCAAGCCTGTGCGGGCTCATGCCATGCCACGGGCAAGGCTGGTCCATGGGCCAAGCCGTGGACTGGGTCAAAGCCATTTATTTAAAAATTAGAAAAAAAAACTTAAAATTTTAATTTTATATGAATTTTGATGTATACAATTGCTTATATATACAATAATTAAATAAATTAATATAATAAACTTAAAAACAATTATCTATTTTATTAATATATTATATACTGTATATTATTATATAAATATAATTTATATAAATATTATATATAAAATATATAAATATATATAATATAAATAATATGTGGGTCGTGTTGGGCCGTGCACGGCCCACTTGGTTGTGCCATGCCGGCTAGCCCGGGGATCTAAAACCCCAGGCCTACCATGACCCACATGATCATGTCGGGCCTAGCACCGCCCGATTTACACCTCTACGTTTGGCATCCAAATAAAAGCTTAGGAGCCATAATATAAACCCTTTGAAAGTATTAAGTGCCCCTATCGTGATTTTGTGACAAACGTTCTATTATTGTCCATCACTATAAATCAAGTTATTGTGACAAGGGTTCAATTGTCCATTACTATAATCAAGATTGTGTCACAGATGTTCAATTTTTTATTACTTATAAATCCATATATTGTAATTCTGCAACAAACATTCAATTTCTCGTCGCTATAAATCAAGATTTTGTAATGGAGATTCAATTGTCTATCATTATAAATCTATATCTATATCTATATATTATAAAAAGTATAAATGAGAGTATACAACTTTTGTTTGACTAAAATACCACTATTTTTATATTTGGTCCATTTGTAATTAAGGGCAAAAAAATGTAATTTGCACAAATACTTTTTTTTTCATTCAATTCCCTCTCATTAAGTCTTATATTTAAATTATACACCTATTTGTTTTTAATTTGATCTCTCTCAAATTATAAGAGCAAAAATATAATTTAAACTACTACATACCTTTTTACCTCATTCAATTCCCTCTCATTGAATCTTATATTTAAGACATTAACTCCCATAACGCTAAAGAAATAGGCAGAAAGAGCGAAAGAGAGAGAGAGAGAAGATCCACTTAAAAACCAAAAGAGTCATGACACTTAGAATTGATCAAGGCATTCATCAATATCTACTTTGTTAGGAGATATTGTAACTTGTAGGGAGTATTAAGGAGTCAACTTTAGGGTATGTATTGAGATAAAGTTAGAAATATGCGGATATAGTGAAATGATTAGGATATACATGGATATGATAGGGGAAGTCATATAAATACCACAAATATATTAATAATACTAAACGCATAGCTTAAGTAAAGATAGCAAAACATAAAAACAATATAGTTTAATAGCCTATTGAAATGTGAACAAGTAGAATAACTTACAAACCATTGGGAAATGGAGGAAATTTTTCATAATGTTCGGCTTTATAATTAAAAATCTTTGTATGTTATGTTGTTCAAGTAATGTATGTGGGCAGCAAAATCAGAACCCAAAATCAATAAAATCAGAATCCAAATAAAGAGAAATAGGGTTTGTGGGGGGGGGGGGGGGGGGGGGGCTGAATGAAATGAGATTCTCATGGTCATTTCCTCAAATGGGGAATGAGATTCTCATTCCCAAAGGTAGGACTGCAAGTCAGGTACCCAACTTAAATTGATTGGGCCTGATCCAATCAATTTTTTGATAAATGCTAAATCCAAGCCCACTCAAGTTGCAACCCTACTTGGGGTGTATCAGATTCCATCCATGCCATGTGTCCATACCACAAAACTCCACCTACTAATCATGTTCTTTAACCTGTTAGGGCAAGATGCCAAAGTAGAGTCCTTTAACAAATAAAATCCCACTAATAAACCTAATATTTATAGAGTAACAAGAACCCATTGCTTCTATCATGATGGTCACCTTTCCTCATCTATCAATGGCAGTGGAACGGCCAAAGGGGTGTTTGATTGGCAGGTTTATTTTGTTTTATTATGTGATTTTAAAGGAGGGTAAAAGGATGGAAAATTTGTATCAAAACACTTTAGACTCAAAGTGTTTGATTGGCAGGTTTATTCTAAATCAAATGTAGAGTTGTAAAAGCACTTTTAAAGTCCAAAATTCGATTATCTGATTAGAATGGCATATTTACATAATTAGATTGAATTCAGATTTTACGATCTTCATCCAATTAATAATTGGATCATATGCGGATTTAACTCCATCCTACCTAATTAAAACCCGAACCCCCCTGTATTTTAATGGATAAAATTTATATATACGTCAAGTAATTAACTTTTTACTTTTTCTCTATTTTAAAGATGAAGCAAAGTCAGATTAAATCCAAAACTGATTTGAGTTCGATAGGATTCAAGCCCAACCAGATTTTGGTTTCTACTACTCGTATAGGATTCAGATTTTGGCGAATCTGATCCATTTACAGCCCTAGTTAAATGGGTCAATCTATGATATCCTAAATCAAATAATAAAAATATAAAAAGTAGATAAAGTTAATGAAAATTCTAAAAAAATCAAAAAAAAAAGAAAAAGTAGATCTTTAATATTATATATTCAACAAAAATAAGTATGATAAATTAGAATTATTGTTATTGTAATTATTAATGACAGAAATGACTAAAATTGCAGAAAAAATGAAATCCAATTTCTAACCCATGACCCATTAACTAGATCAAAACAATTCAACATTTCCACTAGTCATATTACAGGTCATTAACCAAATCAATATTTTTTTCTAATACCAATAAGACCCTGTTTGCTTTTCAATAAGTTACTTATCCCGATAAATGCACTTATCCAGGTAAGTGCAATTGTCCATGTTCTTTTATTTCCCAGATAAATAGGGCAATGGCCGTTTTAGTCATAAAAAGTCATTATTAAAAGGGACATTTTTGTACCAAACTTTCCCTAATCATTATATAAATCTAAAAAAGAACATAAATTTCTTAGTCAACAGCCGCCAATTTGACTAGAGATAGAAAGCATTGCTTAAGTAGCTTTTCAAAAACAAAACTATCATTTTGTCTTACACACTTATCCACAATCGTATAAAATTAAGAGCATCCAATTGCTATCCACCGTTCAGTGGTCTTTTTCTATACTTTTTCACCATTAAAACAAACATTTTTCTTTTTCTAAAAGTGAACAATCTTAGGGCCTGTTTGGTTTATGGGAATAGGGGTCTGGAGCGGGAATTTAAATAGGTTCGTTGGGTGGAATCAAAATCTCATTCCCATTCTTGGTGAAATGGCATTCCCCCATTTAAGGGAATGGCCATTCACTCCCCTTCTCTTGAGAATGAGATCTCATTCTAACTGATTTCAATTCTTATATTGATTCCCATATGAACCAAATAGGTTATGGAAATAGAGCATTTCAATTCTAATTTGAAAGTATTTTGATTTTGATTTCGGTTGTGAACCAAACGGTCCTTAATTATAGATAATATAATATGAAAGCAAACTAAGTTGTTGAAAGTGGCCTCCGTCCCACATTGCTTGTTTACTAAACCATAAAAGGGTTGAAATATTGAAGTCTCTTCTCTATTGTTGTCTCTTCGGAGACATCCGATAAAATTGGAACGATACAGAGAAGATTAGCATGGCCCCTGCGCAAGGATGACACGCACAAATCGAGAAATGGTCCAAATTTTTTTTCGCAAATTTTGGTGAAAATTGCCTCTTCGATGAATCTGAAACTTTTTGCTGGTTAGTAATGGATATGCTGATTTGTTCTTCCTCTTCACCTTCAGCCAAAATCCCGCTGCTGTCTCACCATCCAACGAGCAAACTCCCACCTGCTTCTACCCAACCCGGCCACTGTAATCTGAGATCCATCACTACCCGGAGCAACATCCTCCTGTCATCTTACTCCAAAACGAAGACCTTGGATCAGACCCTCAAGCTTTTTCGTCTCCTCCCCGACCGTGACACAGTGACATGGAACACAGTCATAGCTGCGTGTTCTCGGCAAGGCTGTTACATGGCTGCTCTCCAGCTGTTTGTGGATATGATTCGTTCATCCCAACCACCAGACAATCTCACATTCAGATTCGTTCTCAAGGCCTGTGCCGAAGCAGAAAACTACCCGCTTGCATTGCAAATACATGCTTTTTTGTTGAAGCTACAGGGCCTGCAATTGGACCCGATTGTTGATACTTGTTTGGTAAAGCTATTTTGTGAATTGGGACCAATTGAGATCGCACGTGAAGTCTTTGACAGAATGCCGCAGCCAGATGTTGTTGCTTACACTGCCATGATGGTGGGTTATACTGATGCAGGCGATTATGAGGAAGCATTGAATTTGTTCAGAAACATGATAGAGGTAGAGAGATTGGTGCCTAATGAATTTACATTAACTTCCATTTTAAGTGCTTGTGCTGGGAATTCGTCTTTGCTTGAAGGAAAACAAATGCATGCTTATATTCTAAAAACATCCCTTCAGTCCAATGTGTTCGTGGGGACTGCGTTGGTTAATCTATACGCCAAATGCAATAGAATGGAGTGTGCAAAAATGGCTTTATTTGGAATTTCTACGCCAATGGTAGCTTCATGGAATGCGCTGATGGCTGGGAATTTTGACGGTGAAGAGGTCCTACATTTCCTGTCAATGATGCGGGAATCTGGTTTAAATCCCGATCATGTGACCTTTGCTTCTGTTCTTCGAGCTTGTAAAGGTGTTGGCTTGTCTTCAGTTCGCCAAGTACATGGGCTAGCCGTGAAGATGATTGGAACCATAGTCGATGTTTTCGTAGGTGGTGTTCTTTTCGAGATATATGTGAGTCAGGGTTATGTAACAGATGCTGGCAAGGCCTTTGAGTGCATTCATAGCAAAGATATTTTGGCTTTTAATTTAGCAATTCAAGGGTATATGCTTAATGGTCATAAAGCAGAAGCAATTGATTTATTTTATGAAGCATTCCAGATGGGAATGGAACCAAATGAAGCGACATTAGTTTCACTCATGAGCAAAGTAGAAGGTTTGAATCTAGGAAAACAACTTCATGGCCTTGTTGTTAAGCTTGGGTTTTCTGCTGCTTGGTGTGCTTCCATTGCTAGTTCACTCATTGTGATGTATACAAATTTCCGTCATTTAGATGATGCAGTCCGAGTATTCAACAAAGTCCATTCCCCTGATCTGGTTTTGTGGACAACTATCATCTCTGGCTTTTCTCGAAGTGGGGAAAGTGAAGATGCTCTGAAACTTTACACCCTTATGTTGGAGGAAGAATTAGCAGAAATCCCAAACAACTATACATATTCCAGTGTCTTGTGTTCATGTGCAAATCTTGCTGCTGTTGAAGAAGGGAAACAGATTCATGCTCAGATTATCAAGTCAAATTACAAAATTGGAGCTGACCCATTCATAGCTAGTAGCTTGGTGGACATGTATGCCAAATGTGGATACATTACTGAAGCAAGAATGATATTTGATAAGATGCAGGTGCGAGACCTAGCTTCATGGAATGCCATGATTACAGGACTAGCACAGCATGGATATGCTGAAGAAGCAATAGGAACTTTTGAAAAATTAAAATACCTGTCAGATATACAACCCAACCATATAACATTTATAGGAGTTCTCTCTGCTTGTAGCCACAGTGGTCTATTGCAGAAGGGGTATCACTATTTCAAGTTAATCAAGGAACCTACAATTGATCACTATGCCTGTATGGTCAATCTTCTTGCAAGAGCAGGACATTTAAAAGAAGCCATGGATCTTGTAAAGAAAATGCCTTTTCACCCAAACGAATTTATATGGTCATCACTGCTAGCAGCTAGTGCTACTCATGGAAACATTGAGTTGGGTGAACATGCAGCTGAACGTCTGCTGCAATTGAATCCAAAAGATCCCGGGACATATGTTGCTCTCTCAAATATGTATGCTGCAGCTAGAAGATGGGAGAATGTAGATAAGGTTAGGAAATTGATGGAGGATCAAGGAATAAAGAAAAGACCAGGTCTCAGTTCGTTAGGAGTAAATAGAATGACCCATATTTTCTTTGCAGCATAAGACGGAAATGCTGGGCACAGCCAATAAGGGAAGAATGCACAGTGCTCAATTTCCCAAATTGACTTGTAAATGGATGTAAAGATGAACCGAGTGTTTGGTACCATTACCGTTTCTATTTAAAACACTGCCATGTCAGCACCACTTAGGTGTTTTGAGTTTCAATGGCAATTTCTGCCATGTCAGCAAAACGTTTTCTCTACAAATGCTCACCAGGGGGTGTTGTCCCCAACAGCCATTGCTACTCACAACGACTTAGCTGATGTGGTGCTGATTTGACATCTGATGAGGCATGATGAAGAACTGATATGGTGCATCACATCATAGTTCACCTCCTTTTACCTTCTTTCTCTCAAAGCTAACAAATTTTCCACAAAGCTGAAGAACAACAGTAACCTCTCTTCTTTCTTTCAATCTTCTCTCTGTTTTTCATCTTCTATTTGGTGCTTGTGGTTAGAAATCTGTGAACTCATATTTTTCATCTTTTGTTTTGGTTCCAGGAATCCAGGTAACCTGTACGAAGGGTTTTGGTTTTCAGTCACCTTCCTAAGGTAAATTCTTCATGGTATCTATTGTTGTTTGAGTATGTTTCGATTTGCAGTTAGTATTCAAATATACAGAACATTAGGACTGGAAATGATACTGATTGTTTGTTTGAATGTTGTATCTGTTAGCATTATATTTAAAATGTTGGAATATGATATTATTGGATTGAAAATATATTTAAAATGATTGATCAAAAAATATATTTAAAATTTTGTTAATATGGTATCCATTTGTTGGTTTGAATACATATGGTTTGATTTGATTGTTAGTTTGAAGTTTTACATAGTGGAAGATGACTATCAATATACATATATGCATACACGCTCACACACAGAATGTTCTGATAATTCTTACAGAAATTTTTGACAAATGGCATTTATTACACGTCAAGCCAGCTAAGCTTTTTTCTAGAGACTGGAATCCAATAGGCTTTTTCTATGTGATGGTTGCCATGTCCGTGTTTTCCTCCTCTGTTCTATGGTTGCTGCACTTGAATCACATCATGTCTATCATTCAAAGGAAATGCATGAAGAATAATTTTCACATGGGCCCAAGATGAAGGGAAAATGAACAATTTCTGCATAAAATGCAATTTTATGGCGTTAAGTAGCACATAAGATTGCTGTGAAATCATGTAAAGTAAAACCATATCATATTTTCCAACCATTCAAAATTTCTTTTCCAAATTAAGCTAAATGCCAGGAAAATAAGAAACTGATTGCTTATCCAATTTTCAAGGTGATAATATGTTTACCTTCATTCTATTTGCAACCAAATGCAGGCACAATGTTGAATATAGCTGCCATGTAGAGGAAGAGAGGCTTCTGAAGAGAGCAAAAAAGCAGAAAACATGTATGATTATGTTTGTAACTCTAGTCTTGACTTGACAAATGAAAAGAGAAAGAAATGCAGACACTTGTGCTGCTACCAACTCTATGACGGTTTTATGATCTTTTAAAGTCCATAGTACCTTGTTTTCAAATGATTTTCCCAATTTATGTAGCCTCGGAAGAATGTGATCCCAACATATCTAATAACGTTAGGCACCAGGAAAATCATGTTTGCAGAGATGCTACTGGAAGAGAAATCTTTCTAGCTGTCCCGTGCACTTTCTAGCTGCTGTAATATGGGGAGAAAGGAATCCCGTTCTTTCTGTAAGCAGATCTAGGTTTTGTCTCATAAGGAGCAAGGAATACTGCTAAAGACAGTAGTTTATCAACCCATTTGTACAACGTCTGTGGCTGTGATTTAGTTATTGAAATGGCCCATGTTGGCGTCTTGACATAAAATGTCATTGGCCCTCTCAATGTTTCAACCTGAAATGGCAATGGTACCAAAAAGCACCTAAGTTATCACCATTGTGGCCAAATGCATTAGTTGTTCTGCTGATGCCCTTAACTTTTGGCAAATGGCACAAGGACAATGCTACTAGTATTGCAAATATTCTTAATGTAGTATTCTGGATAAAAATTAGTAAAAATATAATGGACTTGTCATGTGTATGATTTTGTAGAGTGAAGTGTCATTAAGAACTCAATGAATTATATCTTTATGCTGGCTAATAATTAAATCAGTGAATCTGTTAGTAGAACAGATGGTCAGTGGAATCCAGATTCAGATGGACTAGGTCCATAACTAGAAAGTTATCTGAAAAAGCATTGTCCTCAAATGTAATCATATTAATTAACCAATCACATCATGGCACCACTTGATTTAAGTCATAATCATGTTGTCCAATTACTTACAATTATATGCTTTATGTTGATTGATTTTCATGTGGCTTATTATTTTGTATGTGTTTGGTTGCAGTGCAAATTTTTTTGCACTGATGCAAAAGAGTATAGGAAGTGCGAGGAAAAGAGCAACGATCAAAGAGGTAATAAAGAGGTATGACCCAGACATTGTACTAATGCAGGAGTCCAAGAGAATGGAGTTTAATAATAGATGGACAAGGAATATTTGGAAAGCCAGGGGGATTAGCTGGGTGGTTGCTCTTGGGGTGCTTCAAGGGGGATAGTGACAATGTGATAGAAGGTTTGGAGGAACTGATTGGAAAATACTCAATCTCAATGAAGTTTAAGCAATAAGAGGATAATTTTGTGTAGGTGCTCACAAATGTTTATGAACCAAATGATTAAAGAGAAGGAAAGGATTTGTGGGAAGAACTGACAGATGTTAGAGGGTTATGGGATGGGCCTTGGCGCATAGGTGGGGATTTCAATGTGATTAGATTCACAGAGGAGACCAACAATGCTAATCAAAGGGTGACAACTATTATGAGAAAGTTTAACCGGTTTGTGGATGCCTTTGAACTCAAAGAGTTACCTTTAGCCCATAAGACATTCACTTGGTCAAATCTCCAACCGAGTCCCATTTGCTCCAAGTTGGATAGGTTTCTGTACTCTTTGGATTGGGAAGAACATTGGGGAAATTTAGAATCTAGGGCTCTTCCTAGATTGACCTCTGACCATTGGCCTATAGTGATTTGCAAGGAGGAAATGAGTGGTGGACCTGCCCCCTTTGGTTTGAAAATATGTGCTCCACCTTGGGTTCACTAAAAGAGTAAGAGAGTGGTGGAATGAGTGTAACCCAGTGGTGGAATGGGAAGGGATGAGGTTCCATAAGAAGCTATAATTTATGAAAGCAAAGATCAATGAGTGGAATCAATTGGAGTTTGGAAGGTTAGAAGAAAGAAAGAGAACATTAATGGACCAAATTCAGAGCCTTGACTTGAAAGAAGAAATGGGAGATTTTGGAGAGGCAGACAAGGAACAAAGAAAAGGTTTGAGAAGTCAGCTTGAGGACTGCCTACATAAGGAGGAAATTAACTGGAGGCAAAAATCTCGATGTAAATGGCTGCAAGAGGGAGATAGGAATACCAACTTCTTTCACTCTTTGGCAAATGGGAGGAAAATGAGAAATTTTATCTCCAAACTGGAAGTGGATGAAGTTGAGTTAACACAACAAGATGAGATTGCAAGAGCATTTGTGAGACACTTAAAATCCATTCTAAGAAGGACTATAAGTAAGGGGGTGTGTTTAGAAGGATTGGACTGAACAGAAATAGGGTTTGATAACAGGAGAAGGTTGGGAAGAAGGTTTGAGTTGGAAGAGATTAAGGAGGCTATGTCCTCTATGGATAGAACAAAAGCTCCAAATCCGGATGGTTTCATAGTGGCTTTCTACCAAGATTGCTGGGATACGGTGAAAGGTGACCTTTTGTTAGTGTTTGAGGAATTTCATAGGAGATGAGTGGTTAACCCGGGTGTAAATTCCACCTTTTTACATTTGGTCCCAAAAAAGAAAGATGCATTGCATCCAAAGGACTTCAAGCCAATCAGTCTGGTAAATTGCTTGTATAAGATCCTTGCAAAGGTGTTGTCTCTGAGACCGAAGGAAGTATTGCCAGCTATCGTTACACTAAATCAAAGAGCCTCTATGAGTGGAAGACAAATTATAGATCAAATTCTAATTGCTAATGAGAGTGTGGAGAATTTCAAGAAAGATAGAAAGAAGGGAGTGGTATGTAAGTTGGATCTGGAAAAGGCTTATAACTTGGTGGACTAGGATTTTTTGAAGAAAGTTATGACCAAATTTAGATTTGGGACTAGATGGTGCAAATGGATTATGGGGTGTGTTCGGAATTATCATTATTCTGTACTAATGAACGGGAGAGTGGTTGACTTCTTTCTAGCCATTAGGGGTGTAAGACAAGGAGGGCCCCCTGTCTCCCTTCTTGTTCGCACTAATTGCTGGTGTTTTAGGGAGACTGATTCATAAAGCAAATTCTAGGGGTCTTATTAGAGGCTGGAGAGTTGGAAGGGAGGAAACCCCCCTCACCCATCTACAGTATGTAGATGATATGATTCCATTATGTGAATGAGGAAATATGGGGTATATAAGGAACATGAAACTAGTGATAGAACTCTTTGAACAAATGTTAAACTTGAAAGTGAATTTTGAGAAAAGTTGTGTAGTGGGTGTGAATTTGGAGGAGGGAGAGATCAGGGAGAATGCAGAAGTGCTAGGATGTGAAGTCTCAAAGTGGGCCTTAAATTATTTGGGATTGCCATTGGGTGACAATCCAAAGAGAGTGAGTTTCTGGAATCCAATGGTGGAAAGATTTGAAAAGAGACTTGTTTCTTGGAAAAGGAGTTACCTTTCTCTGGGAGAGAGGATGACATTGATTAAAGCTACACTTGCAAATTTACCTATTTATTTCCTTTCAATGTTCAAAATCCCAGTAAAGGTTTCTAACAAATTGGAAAAGATGATGAGAGACTTCCTTTGGGAGTCGGGAGAAGAGAAGAGGGACCATAAAGCTGGGAGGTGGTGACCAGGAACAAAGATAGTGGTGGTTTGGGGCTCGGGAACATTAGAAAAAGGAATTTGTCTATTTTAGGGAAATGACTGTGAAGATTCCCACTAGAGAATGAGAAATTATGGGCCAAGATAGTGGCAAGTATACATGGGTTGAAGTTGAATGGATGGGATGTGGGAATCCGAGCTAGGACTATAAGCGCTTCACCTTAGAAATCCATCCATGAGTTGTTAATAGTTTTTCCCCTCTTATCAAGTATGATTTGAATTCAGGTAACTCCATTAAATTCTGATAACATACTTGAATGGGGGATGCCCCCCTAAAGGACTGGTTTCCTTTTTTGCATGCCATATCTGCTTTAAAAATGAGAAAATTTCCTCTTTCATCACCCCTTCCTCCTCCATTGGGTTTGGGTGGAATTTGGGCTTAAGAAGGGCTGTGAGAGACTCAGACCTTGACAGTATTTCGAATCTTCTTCAGCTTCTTGACAATATTTTCTTAGACCTTGCTAAGGTGGACTCTAGAATCTGAACCCCCACCCCCACTAGTTTTTTCTCCTATGCCTCTTTCTTCAAAGTTTTGAACCAATCCACCAATCCTATGGCCCTCCCTTTTCCTGTTAATGAGGTTTGGTGCAGACTAATTCCTCCTAGGGTTGGTAGTTTTTGCTAGGAAGCCTTTTTGGAAAGATTCAACACTAGTGATTTACTCCAAAAGAAAAGACCCAATACTTGTTTGTTTCCTCACTGGTGTGTTGTTTGTAAAGTTGATGAGGAGACTGGTTTTCATCTACTGGTGTCTTGCCGATTTGCGAAGTCCATTTGGGAGTGGGCTTTCTCCCTCTTTGGGTGTAGTTGGAACCCTCCATCAGATTTGCAAAATCTGTTTTCCCCTTCTTTTTTCAGGTGGCGTATGAAAAGGGGAAAGACTATGTGGAGAGGACTAAGGGTTGCGGTATGTTGGTCCTTATGGGAAGAAAGAAACTCCAAGATATTCTCTGAAGTAGAGAGAGGTGTTGAAGAACTGAGGGCTCTGATCCTTATAAGGGTCGTACAGTGGATGAAATCCCTAGAGCTATTCACAGATTATACAGTGGACATGTTAAGGAAGTGGGGTGAGATTGCTAACTGTTCCCAGACCAAAACAGTGATGAGTGTGTCTTGGACCCCCCTACCTGCAGATTTCATAAAACTAAACTTTGATGAGAGTTGCAGAGGGAATCCTGGACAATTAGGGATTGAGGGTGTTTTCAGGGATGAGAATGGGGTTGTTTCAGCCATGTTTTCAGGCCCAATTGGAGTGAGTGACTCTCTCAGAGCCGAGATCCATGCAGTTATAGAAGGAATACAGAAAGCTAGGGAGATGAATATCAACAAACTCATAATTGAGGGGGATTCAGAGGTGGTGGTTGGATGGCTGAATAAAGATAACAGTGGTTTATGGCATTACAGTAATGTGAGGAGGAAATTTAGATGGCTGGTTCGAGGAATGGAAGTTAAAATCGTTTGGGTATAAAGATCAGCTAATTCTTTTGCTAATGGGTTAGCTAAACAAGGGGTGGAGAGGGAGTCAATGTTTTGGGCACAGTTGTAATTTTATTTTTCTTTTCCCCT